TTGTAAAATAAATCAAACCCTGTCCTTTCAGCCAAAGTGCCACTTTGCAGCTTTTGAGCCTCAGCAGTTTTGCAGCATATCAGACACACAGAAATAATTACCATTAATCCTAAAGAAAATGTGGAGCTTTTCCTACAACTCCAGCACTGCCTGTTTGATCAGACTGTTACACCAGGGTTGGTAGCACAGCTGAAGGACACCCCACAGCTGAAGGACATTCTTTCTCTTGTCCATCCCACACCACTTTGGCATCCATGGCAACTCCACAGGATGCAGAGCCTTGCTCTGACCCTGGGAAAGGAGGAATTGTCTCCCTGAGACCTTGCTCACTCTCAGCTTGGGGAGGTGAAGGATCAGACACTTCTCTGCCTGAACACAGCAGATCTGAAATTCACTCTGTTCTGGTTCCCTCATCCACTTACGGATCCTTTTCCCCTGCATGTACACAGATATGTGTTTGTTTATTCATTGTACACACACGTATGTGTATATACATGTATGAGAGAGGCTGTGGCTGCCCCATCCCTGGGAGTGTTCCAGACCAGGTTGGATGGGGCTTGGAGCAACCTGGGCTAGTGGAAGGGGTCCCTGTCTGTGGCAGGGGGTGGAATGAGATGATCTTTAACATCCTTCCACCCCAAACCACTCTGGGATTCTATAAAAGATTTAGTTTTTACTACTAATTTCTTGATTTCTGGTAGCACAGAAAGGTTTCCATTTGGAAATGCTCTGATGTTTCAATTAACAAAACCATGGCATTGCCCCAGCAGAACATTCTGGAAGCCAAAATCAGTGTCTTTCTGCTGAGACCAGCCTGAACTGAACACCCTGAGACACCTGCCATGACTCACTAGAGCTGCAGCCCAGCACTAAATCAGAGCTGTGCCTCTGCAGGGTCGTGTTCTGTGGCTTTGCAGCACAGACACACCAAATTGGTCGTTTCCAAAGTTGCCCAATATATATAATATCTGATGATATATGTATGTATTCATCCCTTGGGAATGCTGAAGAATCTCCAAGGCTGTGCTGTGTGCCATGAGCTCCTCCTGGCCCTTCCCTGGCCAAATTTCAATGCTTGTGGAGAGGATCTGTGCCCATCTTGTCCCATCCCAGGTCATCCCCTGCAGACCCTGCACACAGTGCCCACAGGATGCTCTGGCTGTCAGAATCTGGGACAGGGATTTCACTGGAGAACTCCCTGTCCCAGCACATGCATCTTTAACAAGCAAAGACAAAAAACTACAGCTAAATAAATCACAACTGTCCTTGTCCCTCACGGAGTGCTGATGCATTCTGAGCAGAGAAATCTCTGCATAGTTGATAAAGCAAATCACTTCATTATTTAATTACATTATCCACCTTCCAGATCTCACAGCAGACACCAAGCACCTGCAGTTGCCATGAGGCAAACCTTCATCATCACTGTGCTTCAGGACCAGGCTCTGCTGTCCTGTCCCAGCTGCCTGAGCAGAGTTTGGGCTGGATTCACCAGTGAGGATGTTGCCCATAGGGAGGATCTGGGTATATCCAATCCCCACAGGGGCTGGGGATGGGCTCTGACAGGCAGGTTCCCATCTGGAAATGCTCCAGGCAGTGAGGGAGAGCCCACCAAGAGCCATCTGACTTTTTAAATGGTCCTAGAAATGGAATCTAGAAATTCCGCAGCCTTTTCTGCATGGAAAACAAGTTTTTGATCCCTATGGCTTGCCTGAGGGAGAAGCAAAGGACAAGGAAAGGGGAGAGAAAGGGGAAGGTAACATTTACAGAATCAGTTCTTATGTTTCTCTCTTCAAACTGGCAGGAACCAAAGGACTCACCCTCTTTTGTATGCTTTTCCATGGAGCAGTTAAACTCACATGAAATATTAATGAAGGGTAATAAGCTGCCAACTGTAAGGGAGGGAAGTTTTAATTTCCACACTTGCCACAGCAGAGACTGCCCTGCATGCTGGGAAGTGGTTCCAAAGGGTCTACAGCATTCCCTCTGCTTCCCTTTGGGCCTGCAGGAGCTCACCAGCAGGGCTGGAAGCTTATGGAAAAGCCAGGAATGTGGCTACACTTAGCTTGGAATTCTGTTTCTGATGTATTCACAGGTGATATTCAGAACCATTTCAAACTCAAGTTTACAAGTGATGAAGAATTTACCCTGCTGGAGGAAGCTGGGCCATTCTTTGAGGCAACATATTCATATTCCAGTACCACATGCACACTTTTCCATATTCCACATACTTTTTGCATGTTATATTAAGTATAACTGGATTCATCCTGTTCCAAGGTCCTTAAACTTAGTGGTCCCAGTTCTCCAGTGCTTAGCAGCTGCAGAGCCCATTATCCAGTCTGGATAGGCTTCCCAGAGTAGGTAGGAGAGCCTTGGTGTGAGGTTCCAGACCAGAGATGGATACACAGTGGCAGTGCCAAGAGCAGACAGGTTTTGCTGTCTCATGTCACTCCATTGGGCCATGCTGCCTTCCCACATGGAAAACCAGCAATCTAAAGACAGCTCTAAGGAGTTTGTTTCCCTAATTACTTGGGTGATACACAGCTCGAGCTGAAGAGGTCTATTTTTAGAATGTTTCCAGTAAGAATCCTGATGTTTCTGTCCAGAGACAATGAGTTTTCTGTTTGTTTTAAAATAGAGGCTTAGTCTTCCACTTCCCTAAAAATTAAAATTAGCTGCAGTGAAATTAATTACTGCCATGATTTGCCTTTTCAGAGGCTGACTGCAGTGAATGCAGAGCCAATGGAGTGTGACAGGAGCAGAGAAGCCTCACCTCAGGTGACCTGGAGCCCAGCACTTGCCATTGGCCTGATGCAGACATGCTTTGGAGTAAAGCAGTAACAGCAAGTGCACCAGAGCATTCAAGGTGAGAACACCTCATCTCCATACCAGAGCTTCTGTGCTCAGCTGTCTCGGGCTGAAGTGAAGGAGCTCAACAGAAAGCCCTGCAGTATTCCACAAACAATGCCCCTGGCACCCTCAGTGACCCCCAGCATGGGTGCACATGGATACAGGCTCAGAGGGCTCCTGACCTCACCTGGCTTCATATAATGAAGAAAGCTACACTGAAGAACAACACAAGGCTCTAAAAGATGAAAACATAGCCTGGACTGTAATGGTTTTCTGGGCAGGTGTCCCAATTGCACTGTTTCTGTAACTCCTGGGCCATTAAGTGGCATTAGGGGCAGTACACAAGCCCCTTGGTCAGTGGGGTATTGATTTTGTTTGTAGCAGGGTCTGTTCTCTCAGGAAAGGAGCACTGATGCCCATCAGAGGCAGCTCTTTTCAGGACTGAACCTGTAAGAGTCCTTGCTGTGCCATGTCCCTGCTCAGCTCCACAAACCTTATTTACCCTCATGGCTTCTCCCCAGCCCAGGCTTGGATTTCCCTTCTCCAGCCCCATGGGTGCACTGACACTTGTATCTAGCATTCAAAAGAACCTGTTTAAACACCTGCTCTGAAAGCTGTTACTTATTTAACTGAGCCAGACAGAATACCCAGCAGCCAGGGGAAGCCAGCTGCTTCTCACTGGGATGCCAGTGTGAGGGAAGGGCTAGAGGAGCTACAGGCCTATATCCAGCCTTGTCCTCCTGGGAAAATGTTTCCAATCTCACTATTCCTCCTGTTTGTGCAATTCCAGGGTGCCAATGGCAGAGTAACTGCAGGCAGGGAGCCAGGGAGCATCACACAGACCACACACCTCTCTCTGTCCCACTGGGTGGAGCAAAGTTAGATGATAGTGAAATGTTACATTGATTTTCCAACCACAGGAACCTCTTTGGAAACCAGGAATCAGGTTCCAACCACCACCTGAAGGAAGAGCCCTGATGGGAAGAGCACCGCAGATCAGCATGGGTACAGCTGTACCAGGAATCAGGCTCCAGCCACAACCTGCAGGAAGAGTCCTGATGGAACAGCACAGCAGATCAGCATGGGTACAGCTGTACCAGCCAGTGGGAAGTAAAGAGGATCTTCAAAGCCATTCCTAACTCAGCCTCTGTGCTGTGCCTGGTGTTTACTGGAGTGTTCACAACTTCCCCGGAGTGAGGGAGATCCTGTGTGTTTGTCACATTAAAAACCCTCCTGCCTGCAGACAGAGAGAGTCACAGCACTGCCTCCTCCTCAGTGAAGTCACTTACTCAGCCTCCCCCTCTTTCTCCTTGCAGGGCACATAAATAGCTTCTGTGCAGAGTCTCTTTGAAGAGTTTGCTTGAGGCAAACCACAGATGAGGAATCGAGTCAGAGAAATAAAGTAATCAGCAAGGCTGGAACATACTGCCAGGCTGGGAGATTTCTGCTGCCTGGAGGCACTTAAGTGCAGGCAAAAAACTACATGACATATTTGCACTCAGTCTCTTTAGGAGGGGAGATACACTGCTGTTTTATGAGATGTGAAAGGTATTTTTCAAAAATGCAGCTGAGCAAGAGTTGGAAATGACAAGTACCATTTTCTCTCTCCCTCTCAATTACAGCTCAGCCTATACAGGTGTTAAATCACCCTCCTGCCTCACTCTCCCTCATGCCACTTTCATCCCAGAGACACCACTTTGATGGAGGAACTCTTCACACACAGAACAGATAATGAGGAGACACCCAGCTCTGGATCACTGCTGTCACCCCAAGGAAGTGCCACCCTCCAGGCACAGAGCTTTAGCAGCAAACCAAAGGCATGCCCTGTACTACCTGGCACTCTGCTCTTCAAACCCACTCATACCTTTCGCACTGCTTAGTTAAGATCTGAAAAGAACAGGATACAACACAAATGCAAAGAGAGAGCCTTCTGCAGGGGTCACCCCGTGCTCAGAGGGTGATAAAAACATGCTGTGGGGAGTGACTTCTTCCCTGTCATATCCCTGGAGCACTTGAGGCAGGTGAGCAGTGCAGGTGAGCAGTGCAGGGCAGCTACCCCTTCCAGCTGTATGGGAAATCAGCATGGGAGGATGCAATCACCACATAACCCCACAGCTAAGCTGAACATCCATGTGTGATGGCTATTCTTCCTTCTACTGTCAACTCTTACAGGTTGTCTTCTAGAAAAGCAAGCTGGAAGCACTCTAATAAGAGCACCTGTATGTGTGCACTCTAATAACACCTGTATTGCTGCAGAAGGACATGGACAGTCAATGCCAATGACTCATTTTTTAACAGCCATGAGAAATGCAGTGATGAGGACAAAGTGACTTTTCTTAGCTACCCTGGGACTTCCAGGCAGGATGAACAGGAGGGATGGCTTTCAACTTACTTACTGTGTGGCCCAAATTGATCTTTCATCCAACACACACCTGAGCAATGCATTAAAGTTATCTTTGCAATGCTTGCTGGGGTTTCACACTCTGCCCTTTCCCAGCAGCAAAGCAAATGTCAGCTGTGAAGCTCTGGCAGCTCCTGCTAAATGTCAGAGCCAGGGAGAGCTGTAACTCCAGAGCCCTGAACTTTTACCCCAGAGGAGCCTTTATGCCTGGCAACTGCACACTGGGTTACACTTTGGAAAATGTCAGGAAAGGATGAACAGTGATTCCTTGTAATGCAAGCAGTGAAAAGTATGTTCAAAAGTGACATACAGAGCCCCAGGGCAAGCAAGGAATCCCCAGGCAGTCACTGCCAGCTGCTGCACAAAGAGCTGCTCATACCTCCTGCACTGGGAGTCACAGGGCAGTGATCTGACACGGCAACCACAGGGGGTGGGAAAAGGAATTATTGTTATTAATATTATCTTTTTAACCACCATCTGGAAAAACCTGCCAGGAGATCCACAGTTCTGAACTAGTGATATAGTGACTTTATTAACCAACCTGGACATGGCACACGAGGCCTTAGTAAGAACCACTGTATTAAAACCAGGCTAACTCACCACTTACTTTTGCCCCCAAACAGAGCAGTTCCTCTCTGCACACTGCAACAGAGTGAATGAACATGAGCTTTTTGTGAAAGGGAGAATCAGTCAAATTTGAAATATCAGACAAATTCCTGCTCTGGCTCAGGTGATAAATTTGTGTTTATCAGAGGGAGAGGAATTTCCTTATTGGGATATAAAATGCATCTTACACATCTCACCTAGGTGTGTGCAGGACTCCAAGTCACCCTACTTGGAGAAAGAGGCAGAATTAGGTGTCTTGCAGAAGTCCTTTCCAACCTAAAGGCTTCTACAGCTCCTGTCTTGTGGACTTCACACAGGCTCTTACCCCACTCCTACCTACTGAGTTCCACAGTGCACATTCAAACTCAGAGTTCAGTTAACACCCAGCCAGGCAGACTGGTTTGGGCTCCTGACTCCATCCTGCCCCAAACTCCTGCCTCCTCCCTTAGCACAGGGTTGTTTTCCCTTCCAGACATTGGCAGGGTGGCTTGGGACAAACTATGTGTTCCAGGGAAATTATTGAACATCTTCCATTGTCTTTGAATAGAGCATAAAACTCCAGCCACATCACTGGGAAAGGTGTTCCTCAGGGGTACCCAGAGTTCTGCTTGTGTCAGTGGAGACACCCTCAGAGCTCCTGAAAGCTAATGGGTGTCTCAGAATTTCTTCTCGCCAGTAGCTGTCCAAAGTCTGGAGGAAAGGGATGAACACTAAAATATTTGGAATTTTTTGTTTGAATCTAAAAGGAATCTTTGTTCCCAGGTGGAATCTGCATTTCTCTGTGGAGTTCCCATTCATGTCTGGGTCTGCAATTCTCTGTTTTTCCCCACCCAAAACATAAGAATGACAGAAAAGAGTCACCAGATGCTTGGAAATACTCTGAAAAACGTCATCTTTTGGAGACTTTTGGAGAGAAACTTCCTATTCATTAGATGAATTAACATAATTCATCCTGAATTCTTGCCATATACACATCATGCAGGTGCACACAAAATAATAGGAATAAAACAACCCCATGATTAAGAGAAGTGAGAAATTCATCAGGATCAGCATCTGCAAATGGGTCTGTGGTTACTAAACATAATACACTGCTAAGCGTGAGTTTTACTGAAAGTAACTAATAGAACTAATGGAAATGTCAATGGAAATAAAAATAATTCTTATTTTATAAGGTAACTCTTATTATCAGGAATAAATAAAGGCACATTCCTACTTTACCTGCCGAGGAGTCCTCTCGGATTTGCTCCTGCACCACTCCCAGTCGGTGAGCTCAGGCTTGTGGCTTTCCTCGTGGGATAACCTCCACTCTGGTCCTTCAGGGAACACCGAGGGATCACAGGCAGTGCCCTGCTCCCCCCGAGAGGCTCCCAGCCCAGCTGGTGGGTGCTGTGGGGGGTCCAGCCCTGCCATGGGCCCCCCCGGGGGGGAGCTGTGTGCCAGGGCCGTGAGGGGGATCAATGACCGTCCAGGGCTGGGGGCATCACTCCTGCCCCTGCCAGGCTCCAGCTCATCACCAGCACAGCTCACCAGGTTGTGGCAGGACGTGGATTTACCATCACCATTGTGGTGGCGGTGGTGGTTTTCCTGGGATATCCTGTAGATTCCATAGCCTTGCTGGAATGAGAGGTTGAACTCGAAACCTCTGCGTTTGGCTAAGCAGGAAGGAAATAAATATCATGTTAAGTCAAGGCCAAGAAGGAAAATGAGGTTACACACACAATGAAAATGACATGCTAAACCATGGAATAAATTATCCAGCTGCTCCTGGAAACAGGCAATTTTCTATCCATAAAAAGAATGAATTGTTGAGAAGACTGCTGAGAAGAAACTGCCTCCTTGATGAACTACAGTTATCCCCTCCAGGACAGTGGTGAAAAAGGCATCAGTGGCAGCACAAACCATTCTGCACCTGCAGAATGTGTTCAAAGCAAGTGAAAGCCATGCATCGAGGATGGCTGTTCTCCAGCATTCAGGAGCTCTTTCTCCCTGAACGTGCAGTCAGGAATTCATACACTAATGTTAGAGGACTCTCACTCCAGAGAATGGGTAAGTTCCATACCCTCAGAAGGATTTAGCCCTTTACCTTTGCAGCTGAGACTAGATGATCCCTGTAGGTCCCTTCCAGCTGACCCATTCCATTCCTCCAGCAGGTTTTACATGAGGCCAAGGGATAAACAGGGCTTTAGGTTACCAGGGAAGGTCTGGCATCCTCTGTTACACAAGGGTAACCCTTCCACACTTACTTTCGAGATCCTCTGAAGACACTGCACAGGAATTCCTCCTGCAGTTGATGACGCAGCCACAGGGCAGATGGACCCAGTGCTCTGACAGGACAAACACAGGAGTGACTGTGACAGCCAGCAAAGTCAGGGGGAAGCTCAGTGTCTCCAGCCAAAGGCTCTGCAGACCAGTGAAGTATTGGACAACCATCTGTATCTGAAAGGCAGAGCATTTTGAAATGTAAATCACTTCAGGCACACGAGATACTTCCAGGAATAAACAGAACATCTCGCTATGAATATGACACGACTCCAAGACACAGGTTGTCATTAGTGTTTGCTGAGCACAACAATTGTGGTTCTAGCAGGGAGAGGAGAAAACACCCTGACTGCTCTCTCCTCCTCATTGTGCAGTTCTCAGAAAAACCCTCTCTGGAGCTAAATACAGATGCTGAGGAGTATTAAACATCTCCCAATCCAAGTGGCTCAGAGGAGCTGCTCACTTGCTGTCCTGTGTGGTGCTGAGGAACCCCAATCACAGATGGAGAGCAGAAGTGGGAGCTCCACAGCACAGTGGGCTGTGAGGCAGATGATCTGCACTGCTCTTGCCCAAGCTCAGGTGCTGTGTCCATACACATCCCAAGACAGGGTAACACTGTCCCAGGCCCATGTTCCGTGTCCTCAGCGGAGTCCTTTCTAATGTACTGTTCCCAAATACACATCCATGCACATGGACAGCTCTCCCTGCACCACCACCCCACCCTCAGTACTACAGGGGTTACAAAGGTGCCAGCAAAGTGCATTTTTCTAACAAATTCCTATTTTTTAGCCAGTCTGGCAAAGGAGGTGACTCAGAGCTGTGAGGAGGAGCTGTTAGCTCAGCACAATTCCCAGACTCCCTGATGCTGAGCAATGCCTGTCACCACAGCTGCTCAAAGGGGACCTTATTCCCCCAGGTATTCACATAACAGGAATGATGTGGTGACAGAGTAACTGACTGATGAACCAGGCTCTGCCAAACCTGCTGGACACCAGCTAAATTCATGCAGGGACACAGACCTACTGCAAAGGACTCTTGCTGGCACAACTATACCAAGGAACAGCAGCAATGGCTACAGTTCATCTGTTTCCATCCATGGCCCACAGGCCACATCCCATTGAAATGTAGGTGAACACTGGAAAGTGAAGTGCTCTGACATTTACCATCATTGGGAGCCAGAGAACCACTTTGGTCAGTGCAAGGATGAGGGAGAAACGTTTCTGGGCAAAGCCCACCATGAAGCTCCTGCTCTGTGTGCTGCTCATGAGAGTACCACTTTCAGCCACTCCTTTCCCAAAAACTGCCTCCGAGTTTGGGGAGTGCTCCAGGGTTTTATCCCCAGGGTCCAGCGGTGACAGCGATGGTGCAGCACAGCCTGCAGGTGTCCCGGGGGTGTTGAAGCCTCCAGACACCTCCAGGTACTCCGAGTGTAGGAGCTGAGGCTCACCCGAGCACAGCAGCTGGTAAGTGAGAGGCACAGCCAGCACTGTGAGGAGGCAGCAGCACAGCGAGTAGGCAATGGATACAAACAGGGTGTAGGAGCTGGCACAGTCAGTGAAGCAGCCCCAGGAGGTGGGGATGTACCCACCCCATCCACAGAGGGGCAAAATGCAGATCAGCAAGCTAACAATCCAGATGGTGAGGATGGCCCACACCACACTCACGCGTCGCTCGGAGGAGCTGTAGCTCAGTATCTCAGTCGTGCTCATGGTGTAGAAGTTGTAAGAAACTATAAGTGACCCTTTCAGATTGCTAGAAATACCCTGGAATAAATACATAAGTGCTGAGGTTGTGCACAGAGGCTGGGGCAGGGCTTCGCTTGACCACTGGGTGAGCATGAAAAGAATCACTGGCACGACGGTGATCAAATCATCTATTGCCAAAGAGGTCACAATCATGGACACAGTGGTTTTGTTCTGCATTTTCAGCAGGGAAACCAGTGAATAAATGCTGCCCAGAAGAGCTGGGAATGCAATGGTAAAAGTCAAGCAGAACAGAAAGACATTCCAAGTTCTGTGCTCGCTGGGTTTGTCCGTGCTGCCGTGGCTCTCGATGAATAAGCTCGTCCCATTGAGTGACAAATTACCAGGCAAAACCGACATGGTCCTTGGCATCTCTTTCCTTTGCCTTCTCACTGACTCTGCAAGTTTTCACAGGCAGCAACCAGAACTGTCAGCTCCACATCACAAGTTTCTTTGTCTTCCCAGACACTCTTCTGTGTCATTTGATGAAGAGATACCCAGGCGAAAGCATTCCTGATAACCAGAACAACTCATGCTCTCGAAATAACAGGCAACAATCAAGTACCAAAGGTGCTGAAAACAACGCAGTTCTTCAAAATCCTTCCTGTGCAGGAAGATGGTTAACTAAGGCTCTTCAGGTAACAACATGCCATTCCCTCCTGACAGATAGCAGGCAATGTGCCTTACTCACGAGCTCAGCTGCAGTGAAGGCAGAGTATCAGGTGTGTTCAGGCTGTAGTAGCTCGGGGAGACACATAGTAGAGGGAGAGGCTGTTGGATTCACCCTGCGCTGAGCTGCAGGAGGGAGGGGTCGATGCAGGCAGGATAGCAGCGACCGGAGTGAGCATCTTCTCAGCCTGAGCTGCCTCTCGCTGGATCAGCAGCCTGGAACAGTGTCCCCTAAGCCACACCTCCGAGCCTACACCGAAATCCAATGCAAATACTCCGATCTGATGTCAGCCGCGGATGTCATTCCCGTAAATCCCGGGGCTGCTCCAGGGCTGTGCAGCACGAGCTGGAATGCTGCTTTTATTCCTTTACACTTCTGTGCTCGGGCTTGGCAGGGGGAAGAGCCTCAGGAGCCCCCACGAAGAGGATGCAGACTGGGGCTCTGCTCTGCCTTCAGCATTCCCACTTCCACACACTGCACATGGATGCTTCCATACATCTTCCCTCCATTCACTATCCAGTTTCACCTGCCTGTGTGGTGCTTCAGCTCAGCCTGGGATCTAGAAACTTTCATTCCTTACCTGATTCCAGCCTAAGCCACCTCAGTTTTGACTGCCTGCTCCTGTGGACAGAACGACAGACAAGGGCATGTTGGCACAGTGTGAATGTTTCCTCTTGAGAAAGTGCAATAAATACTGGTGAAATTTATGAGCTGGCAAAATACCCACCCCTGGAATCTTAATGAGCACATAGATCCAGTGCAATCTCCTTGGAGGGCTCTGCCTCCCTGTCCTTTCTGGCACAACTCAAATACATGATGGACAAATGCACTGTTTATTAGGACCAGAAGTCAACCCTCAGGTCAGAAACTTGCAGAAGAGAAGAGCATCTATTTTGCCTTTCACACAAGGCACAGTCCTGGATCTGGACCATGCCCCTGGCCTGTAACTGCACAGGATCTGAGGTGGCTTTTGTGATTTATCTGTCCTGTGGGACTATCGATTGCTCATTTGTGTGGGGTCAGCTAAAGGCCAGGGCTTGTTTCCTTCTATTTACAAATCACAGTCACCTCTGCCCCTATAAATCAACTGCCCATTAAGGACAGTTCTAAATCTTTATATTAGCAATTTGAGCCTGGTCAGTTCAGTCAAGAGATAAGACCAGAAAGCATCATCATTCACTCTTATTTGGACCTTTATTTTTGAGCCTGGTTCCCTCAGGAAACACACCCATGCTGTCTGAGGGGGGATATCTGTGCCATGCCTCTCTTTCCCACTCCCCATCTTCAATTCTACTTGACAGGATGACCATTTCCAACTCAATCTGATGGTGTCCAATCTATGGAGTTCCCACCAGGCTGATAAAAAAGCAGCTGATTAGAGGAGACAGATGACAGTTGGCTGCAGCACTGGTCCCTCTTCACTAGAAACTAGTGAACACAAAGCAGAGGCTTTAAGTACTCCAACCACAAAAAAAGCTGGAGCTGGAATTTCCATTAACCTGGAGGCTAAACTGAAGGAAACCAGCCTCATTCCCTCTGGCATCTCTTAGTGCCCCCTAATAAGTAATCAGTTACTTCCAGTCCTGAATTCCCCATTTCTACCACCTGTGTAATTGTCGTGGTTTAACCCCAGCCATCAGCCAAGAACCACACAGCCGCTCACACACTCCCCCACCAAGGGGATGGGGGAGTGAATCAGAAGGGTAAAAGCTACAAAAACTCATGGGTTGAGATAAAGACAGTTTAATAGAGGAAGCAAAAGCTGCACACACAAGCAAAGCAAAACAAGGAATTAATTCACTCCTTCCCAAAGTCAGGAGGTGTTTAGCCATCTCCAGGAGAGCAGGGCCCCATCACGCGTAACGGTTCCTTGGGAAGACAGACGCCATCACTCCAGATGTCCCCCCTTCCTCCTTCTTCCTCCCACCTTATATACTGAGCATGATGTCATATGGTATGGAATATCCCTTTGGTCAGTTTGGGTCACCTGTCCCAGCTGTGTCTCCTCCCAATCTCCCATGCATCCCCAACTTCCTTGCCAGTGTGGCAGTACAGAAAGCAGCAACGGCCTTGACTCTGTGCAAGCTCCGCTCAGCAACAACAAAAACATCTCTGCATTATCAGCTCTGTGTTCTGCACAAACCCCAAACGTAGCCCCATACTAGCCTCTGTGAAGAAAGCTAACTCTACTTCAGCTCAAACCAGCACAGTAATTATCTTTTGTTCCTGCTACATTCATTGGATGCTTAGAAACCATTTGAACGATGCTTGAGAAGTTTATTTTCCCTACTTCAGAAAATTGTTCTCCTGTACCCTCAGTCATTACATCCTCACCAAATGTCCAACAGTTCTGATGGCAGAGAGCAACCACAAATTCTCTGCAAGTTCCCTCAGCACCATCCTCCTCACACACTTCTGTGCCCTTGACTTATTTATTTCTCTTTGGACACTGTGGTGAGAGCAGTCCACCCTGTGCCTCCTGTTGGTGTCTGGAATGAAATGTTCGTCAGTGTTCCTAAGCAGAAAGTCACTTTTATTTATTGCCTTGCCCGTTCGAGGCAGATGATGTATTACTCACTTCAGTTTGTCTTCCCACACAGTGTGTTTTATGATTTCAGCTGCACCTTGCCACTCTCTGTGGCAGCTTTTACCATAACTTACACTATGGTGAGAATTTTTTTCTAGTGGTCATTCTATAGTTACAAACAGAAGGTCTTGGGAACAATGAATTCAAGCACTTTCCCTTCTTACCTATCTTTCTTTAATATGACTGATAAATTACAATAAAACATGTACAGAAAGAGCAGTTTCATCTTACACCTAAAGAGAGAATTTCCTGGCAGTAAGAAACAAGCACCTCCCCAAAAAGCAGCAGGTTTTCCTCCCAGCTGTGCTCCAGGGAGCTGACCTGCATATCCAGGGAGACTTGAGCTCTGAGACATCTCTTGTGGCTGGGGCAGATGGATCTGAATTGGATTCTCTGGTCTCCAGAATGAGTTCACATTCAGTCTCTCAAAATTTACAGAAGCACAGCCTTTGCAATTGTAATTTCACTCCCCTTGTGTCCCCAGATTTGTAAAGGAACAGTGCTAGAATGGGCACAGGGAATGGTCCTGCAACAGAGGAGGAGACACCTTTGCCTGTGTTTGGCTGGGACTGTTTCAGGCAGGCAGGAATCTACAGATTAAGATCTTTACTACCTATTCTCTTTCTTCTCTGTAATTAGCCTCCTGAATTATGGGAGGTTCCCAAAATACTGTCCTTCGCTGCATATGTATACATATTCCTTATCCCGGTGTGAATTCTCCCTCCTAAGGAATGATTGCAAAGAGAAAACACACTGGGATGGAAATCTGCCCTCTTTTCACACAGCACTGCACAGGAACAGCTTCTAAAGGAAGGGTCAGCACTACTGCCAGGATGTGACAGGACTTCTCAGAGACACACTCCATGCAACCCCTCATAAGTGCTTGTGAAAAGAATCGAGTAGTCAACATCCATCCACAAAATAAAAACCAGCAAATGGTAATTAAAAATTTATCTTATTTAGTGTATGAGTCACATCTTATTTTCACAGCTTGCAGTAAGCTGAGCTTTGACTTAGGGCTTGGCTTCCTTTTGTCACTGAAGAGAGACAAGGCCATTACAGCAGCTGTGTAAATGTTTCATTTCAGATGGTGATGTAAGGTCTGTGACAGGCAAAAATGTATATATGTGAAATTCCTTTAAAGTCTTGGAATTTATTCCTCAATATCATGTGAAATAAAATGTTATTTTTTCCCCAGAATTTTTTTTCAGACTTAAATGGTCTGTGGGACTTAGACATCACTTTTAGATAGAAGATGGTTAAACTGCAGCTAATTATTCCATCTCATTATTTGCCTCAGATGAATTAAATCAAAGTAATAAAAGCAGAAACTCCTACACTTACCCATTTCCTCTGCATCTCTGTGCTGTGGGAAAAGGGTTCACTGTGCTTACTGATTTGGAGCAATTAGAGCAATGTAAACCAGGAGTAATTCTATTAGATCTAGAACATGATTTACCTTCTGTGCTCAATGTGGCTGGACTGCAGAGGCTGTGGCTCAGGGAGGGCTGAGCCCTGCTGTGAGATGCTGCTCTGGACTCCAGTTGTTCTCTCCCTGTCAGCAGTGTGTCCCAGCCTGTCCTGAGCAGAAGGGCCAGCAGTGAGCAGTGCTCCATGTCACAGCTCCCCAGCTTCAGGTTCTTCCTTGTGCTCTGTGAAGAGAGACAGGAAATTGAGACTGCAATGAACTGGATGTGTTCAGAGAATCATAGCATTAGCAAGAGACATCCCCAGAGTGTCCATGGCATGGAATAATCATGGTGATCATCTTTCCCTGAGATGCTCCAAAGCCTACAGACAGTGTGTCAGTGGGAAATGGAAGCAGTGCCAGTGCTTCTATGAAGCTGGAGTGAGAGGGATTTTTGATAGATGGGTCTGAACCAGCTCTGTGTGCAAACAGCAGAGATCATGATGTGCTGTCAGTCAGGAAATGGCCAAATGGGACCAACCAGAAGAGAAACAAGCATTTCAAAATGATAATTCCAGGAAGGCAACACTGCAAGGGAAGAGATACCAAGCATGCAGTGGGACAGTTTCAGGCAGGAAGGTAAATGGCAAGGCAGAGAGATGGTAGCAAATCTGCAGCTCCCAAGGTGGAGAGCT